GAAATAGCGTATTTGAGATACCAAATTCAGTAGATGGCAGCAAGTCCCATTACTGTAAAAAGAGCCCTTGATTCAGTTCCTGGCTTTATCAAACCGCTGGAGTAATCCTACCTGAGGTGCTGATATCTCCCCATAAATAGGCTAGGGAGGAAACCTAAACTCAGAGTTCCTGCAAGGCAGAAATAATCTTTTGCAATATGTTTGCCTGGAGAGCACTTCCAAGGCAGGAACTAGGAATAACAAGAAAACAATATGCATTCACATAAGTCCTGGGGAAAAAAAAAGATGAGTCCAGGACACTGAACTGTGTGTTCACTCTGTAGATAAATGCATATTCAAGCCCATGAACAAAAATTAGATGCTGTAAGTCGAATTCTTAAATCTGCTAGCTGCATGTGTAATGTGCGTAGTGTCTTTTGTTCTTTGTGAAAATTTGTTTTAGTGTTTTAAGATGAAAACTCATTGCAGGGTGAGCTGTATGAACACATTGCAGAAGTATTCCATAGAAAATGACTGTTCTGCTCTAACTGAATGTTCATAATTACTTTTCTGTGATAAGCCTGGGTTTAGGAACTGTTCATAAACAGTCTGCAAACAATTATTTGACAGTATAGGCTTCTTTGAAATAGTAAAGTACAGTGGCACCACCAGATGGTAGTATTGCTTATTCCATTTTCATGGCTCTCTGTATACTCTGCAGTAAGAAACAGCTTGTCAGAAATAGCATCATTTTATACTTTAACTATCTCCCACCTGAACAAACCCCTTGAGTGAAAAGCTTATATAGAAAAGGCGAGAGATCATCCAGAGGCACAGTCCCAAAGTCAGCAAACCAGCACTCTCGGGTAGGTTGTTGGCAGCTGTTTTCCAGTGGAAACTCATACCATGTCAGGCGTGTTACAACAGCCAACTTTAATGAAAATAAATTTTCAGACATAGTTCAAACATAGAAATAGCAAAATGAAATAGCAACATGAAATTATTCTTTTATAAACCAACAATGTAAAAAGGCCTCTTTTTCTCCTGTTTGTTATGATGATAAATTATTTTACTAGCTATTTGTGTCTTTGTGAAGAGACAGAAACTGCTCTGTATCAATTTCTTAAGGCCCAGCTGCAGGAATTGTTTCATTGCACTTAGAAAGTTACCACGTTGGATTGCTTTAAATCTATATTTGATGAGACTGGCCGAGCCTATGCAAGCAGAGCTTCCACCTGGAAATGCTTTGCAGAAGTCTGAGTGTATCGAGCGGTGATCCATTTAGGATGTATATGAAATTCCTTATTTAGTTTCCCAACACTTTATTTTTATGATCCTTCTTACTAAGTTGTAATACAAAGTGCATTATTGAGACTATGTAACTAAAGGTTAATCATAATTTAAAGCACATAAAAGCAAGCCACAAGGCAGCGCCTTTAAACCACTCAGTAAAGGAGCATGAATTTATGGGCACTTTGCCTGACTATCTCTGTCAGGGAGACATATAAACATATGAATAGGCTATTCCCTACCTGGGATATATCCTGCTCTGGGATAACCCAATAACCTCTCTGGTAAGTGAGGCTGAAAGAGGGAAGCAGCCGTGGCTGAGAACACTGGATTTTGATTAATCACCTCCGGACATCTCAGCTCCTTCCTGAAGTGATCTTGATGATACATTCTGATTGCAAATCATTAGAACTACTTAGGGGCTTTTTTGGATGGTCACCATAGTTCTGGATCTGAAAGAATCAACTGAAATGTTAGCTTTAAGTTATAAAAATATTATTCTTTTAATGGAAATCTAGAAGATTCATCTTGTTCACTTTAAGTAAAAGGATTAAATGGTAAAGAACAATACCCTTAAATTGCTTAAATATTGAAGTATATTTTCCAAATGCTTTGCTCTGAGCTATTGTACCTTTGCCCACACATTGCCTGTCTTTGTCCACCACTGCAAGGCTCGCGGCCGCAGTATTTATATTTATTTCCGTTCTCCAGGCTGAAGGACGGCAGCGCGATCCTCCGAGCAACATTCGCAGCTGGCGGTGCCCCGTTCCCAGGCCCCGCGGCGCATGGGGCGGCTCGGCTCGGCTCGCCGGGCCCCGCTCGCCATCCCCGGCTGGACGCGCCGGCCGGGAGGCGGGATGGGACGGGATGCGATGGGCCT